AATAGGTCGCCAGAAACCCATAGTGAATCTGGCGACCTATTTGAATCCCATAATTGTCTCAGCCGAATTAGGTGAAGCCCGTAGGTCGCCAGAAACCCTTAGGACTCGGGCGACCTATGGGTTTCACAAAATTGTCCCAGCATAATGATGGGACACCCATGGGTCGCCAGAAACCGCTAAGGAATCCGGCGACCTATGGGTTTCCCATAGTTGTCTCAGCCGAATTCTGGGAAACTTATAAGTCGGCAGAAACTTTTTTAGGGAATTTGGCGACCTCTGGGCTTTCCATAGTTGTCACCGCCGAATGTGGGAGACCCATAGGTCGCCACAAACCCATACATAATCAGTCGGCGTGTTGGTTCCCAAACTTGTAACATTTTTTGGAAACCCATAGGTCGGCAGAAACCCTTAGGGAATCGGGCGACCTATGGGTTTCCCAAAATTGCCCGAGCCGAAGTACGGGAAACCCATAGGTCACCAGAACCCCTACGGAATCTGGCGACATAGGGGTTTCCCAGGATTGTCCCAGCTGTTTTTTTTGAAATCGATCGGCCGCCAGAAATTTTAATTATCGGAAATGCATAGGTCGCCAGAAATCATTCGGGAATCTGGCGACCTGTGGGTTTTCACATATTTGTCCCAGCCGGAATATGGGAAACCCACCCGAAACCCACATGGAATCTTCTGGCCGATGGATTTCCCATGATTGTCCCAGCCGGATCATGAGAAACCAAGCTGTCGCCAGAACCCCTAGGGAATCTGGCGACCTATGTGTTTCCCACAATTGTTCCAACCGGGTCCTGGGGAACCCATCGGTCGCCAAAATTCCCAGTGAATCTGGCGACCTATAGCTGTCCCAGAAGTGTCCCAGCTGAAGTAGGGGAAACCCATAGGTCGCCCCCCAAGAATTTGGCGACCTATGGGTTTCCCATAGTAGTCTCGGCCGAATTATGGGAAACCCATGGGTCGCCAGAACTTTCTAGGACATCTGGCGACGTATGGGTTTCACAGAACTGCCTCGGCTGAACTATGGGACACCCATAGGTCGCGAGAAACCCATCGGGAATCTGGCGACCGATAGGTTTCCCAGAATAGCCCGAGCCGGGTTATGGGAAACCCATGGTCGCCAGAAACCACCACGAAATCTGGCGGCCTATGGCTCTCCCATAGTTGTCGCAGACAAATGGTGGGAAACCCATAGGTCGCCAGAACACCTAGGGAATCATTCGACCAACATGTTTCCCATGCTTGTTGTTCCAGCCGAAGTAATGGAAACTCACAGATCACCTAAAACCCGTAAGGGAATCTGGCGACCTATAGGTTTCCCCGAATTGTCCCAGCCGAATTGTGGGAAACTCATCGGTTCCCATAACTGTTCCAGCATATTTCTGGGAAGCCCATAGGTCGCCAGAACCCCCCAGGGAATCTGGCGACCTATTGGTTTCCAATAGTTGCCACAGTCGAGGTATGGGAAACTCATGCGTTGTTCGGCTTGGACGCACATTGGGAACCCATCGGTCGCCATATTCCCGATGGGTTTCTGGCGACCTATGGGTTTCTCTTAATTCTGCTGGGGCAATTATGGGAAACCCATAGGTCGCCAGATTCCCTATGTATTTCTTGCGACCCATGCGTGTCGCATAATTCTGCTGGGACAGCTATAGGCAACCCATAGGTCGCCAGATTCCCTAGGGGTTTCTGGCGACTCATGGGTTTCTCATAGTTCGGCGGGGGCAATTCTTGGAAACCCATAGGTCGCCATATTCCTTAGAGGTGACGTGTTGGTTTCCTATTTTTCGGCGGGTGGAATTCTGGGAAACCCATGGGTCGCCAGAACCCCCCAGGGAATCTGGCGACCGATGGTTTTCCAATAATTGCCACAGTCGAAGTATGGGAAACTCATACGTTGTTCGTCTTGGACAAATATGGGGGACCCATCGGTCGCCATATTCCCGATGGGTTTCTGTCGACCTATGGGTTTCCCTTGAGTCTGCTAGGGCAATTATGTGAAACCCATAGGTCGCCAGATTCCCTATGTATCTCTTGCGACCCATGCGTTTCCCATAATTCTGGTGGGACAGTTATAGGAAGCCCATAGGTATCCAGATTCCCTAGGGGTTCTGGCGACTTCTGGATGGGTTTCTCACAGTTCGGCGGGGGCACTTCTTGGAAACCGATAGGTCGCCATTCCTTAGAGGTGACGTGTCGGTTTCTTTTTTTTCGGCGGGTGGAATTCTGGGAAACCCATAGGTCGCCAGATTCCCTGTGGGTTTCTGGCGACTTATGGGTTTCCCATAGTTCGGAACCTGAGCCCCGCTCGCAGCCGCGAGTTACGGGAAACCCATAGGTCGCCAAGTTCCCTAAGGGTTTCTGCCGACCTATGGGTTTCCCATAAGCCGGAACCTGGACCCCGCCCGCCGCCCCCATGTCACGAGCGAGTTCGGATGCGAATGCCCCATAATTGCGCGGCGTCTATCTGTCTGTGAAATTCCACAGGGCCGCTTGCGTGGGCGAACTATGGGAAACCCATAGGTCGCCAGATTCCTTGGGGGTTTCTGGCGACCAATGGGTGTCCCATAGTTCGGAACCGGGACCTCGCTCGCCGCCGCGAAATATAGGAAACCCATAGGAAACCATATTCCCTAAGGGTTTCTGGCGACCTGTGGGTTTCACATAATGAACCTGGAATCTGCCCGTCGCCTTCATTTCGCGAACGAATGCGGATGCGAATGTACCATTTCGCGGCGTCTGGTATTCTGTGAAATTCCACGTGGCCGCTGGCGTGGGCGAACTATGGGAAACCACTAGGTGGCCAGACTCCCTAGGGGTTTCTGGCGACCCATGGGCTTCCCAGAATTCGGAACCTGGACTCGCTCGCCGCCGCGAATTATGGGAAACCCATACGAAACCATATTCCCTAAGGGTTTCTGGCGACCTGTGGGTTTCACATAATTCGGAACCTGGATCCCGCTCGCCGCCGCAGCCGCAGCCGCAGCTGCATCTGCAGCCGCGGCCGCAGTCGCATCCGCAGCCGCAGCCGCAGCCGCAGCTGCATCCGCAGCCGCAGCCGCAGCCGCAGCCGCAGCCGCAGCCGCAATCGCCGCGAATTATGGGAAACCCATAAGTCGCCAGATTCCCTCGGGGTTTCTGGCGACCTTTCCCATAATTCGGAACCTGGATCCCGCTCGCCGCCGCAGCCGCAGCCGCAGCCGAAGCTGCAGCCGCAGCTGCAGCTGCAGCCGCAGCCGCAGCTGCAGCTGCAGCTGCAGCCGCAGTCGCATCTGCAGCCGCAGCCGCAGCCGCAGCTGCAGCCGCAGCCGAAGCCGCAGTCGCAGCCGCAGCCGCAGCCGCAGGCAGCAGTCGTCCATCTACGGGTTTCTCATACTTCCGAATTATGGGCTTCCCGTAGTGCGGAACTATGGGAAACAAATCGATGGACGACTGCCCTACGCCCCCCCCTTCTAGCACTGTTCCTTATGAGTATACACCCCCTGCCCCACCTGGCCGGCGGCCAACCTGGAACCATGCTGACTCCATGCGGGCCCGCCCCCAGTCATCCTTGTCAAGGAACAGTACGAGCCGCATTCTGCCTCCACATTTGGAGCATGCGCGGCCAACCCGATGTGGCCCCCCCCCCACCATCCTGGTCAACAAAAACAATGCAAGGTACATTTTGGGGTAAAGTCTTGAGTCATGTTCGTGAGGCCCGTGAGCACTTTGTATTTTTTTGACAGCTTTGTATTTTTTACAGGGACGTCGGGGTTGTCAGCATATTCCCTGCTGTGCGCAGGGCTACCATCCCTGACAACATAACTACATAATGCAACATGCACCTCGCGGCTAAATCTGGATCATGCGCGGCCATCCCGCGATCACTGTCAAGTGGTTGTTGACAGGGACGGCGGGGGTGGTGGCGCGTGGCCAGCTGCGCACAGGCCCACCAGACACAATGATGGGCATTGGTTTTCGACAAGGATGGCGGGGGCCGACATGTGTCCCGATGTGTGCTGTCACGTGCGCAGGCCCACCTGACGCACTCTGCACGTGCCCCGGACGTGGCGCACCTGGCGCGGCTGGAGTTTGCGGCACACCTGGCGCACTCGGAGCACGCGGCACATCTGGCGCACCAGGCGTGCCTGGCACGTTCGGGCCCCACGGGTGCCTGGCGCGCGTGGCGCCCCTGGCACGCGTGGCGCACCTCGCCCAAGCGTCGCGCACCTGGGGTCGGCTTTGGGTCCCAGTAGCTGTCCATCCAAAGACGACCGCTGAACATGCTCAGGCTCGGGTGATATTCATGTGTTGGGAGGGCGGGTGGGAGTGAGCTAGACGGCTTTCGGGCGGGTGGGCAGCTACCCCCCCTTATCCTCCCCCTACCCGCCTATCCCCCTTACCCCCTGGCCCTCTCGGGGCGATCTTTGGCCGTCTTGGGCCCCTCTTTGGGCCGTCTTGAAACCCTATTGGGCCGTTTTGGGGCGGTCTACGAGGCCTTTTGGGCCGTCTTGGAGCGTCGGAAGCTCGAGAAGACTATTCCGCCAGAAACAATGCAAAACAAAGGGACACTATTTATTCTTGCCTCTCGGGCCCTCTTGGGAAGGCTCCTTGGGCGTCTCGAAGGCGTTTTGGGGCGTCTTGGAGCCATCGTAGGCGTCTTGGGCCGATCGTTCCAGAGGCCACGGAAGGCATACTAGGAAGCTCCGGAGTTTCCGGGGGGGCGCCGGAGAGCCCGGAGATCCCCCTTCGTTGATCGGGACCAGCCAATCATCTCACACGCCTTCTCACCCCTGGCAAGGGGGTGCCAGCGGATTCTGGTTATTTCATGCTTTGACATGCGGGTTCTCACCTGGTCACAAGGATTGCGTGTTCCGAGGCCTCTGCTTGCTTTGACGATCTTGTTGCTGTCATATTTTGGGTCGACGTTGTGGTATTTTTATGGGGGGCATGGTCTGCAAGTTTTTTTTTCGTTGGTAGGTGGGGGGTGTCTTGCTGGGGCCTGCCCGAAGGATATCCTCACGGCGCCGCGGCTGCTCTTCCCAGGCGTTGGCGCCTTCGGTCCCTGCGTCGACGCGCTCCAGCGGCTGGGCTTTTTCGGTCCGCTGAAGCAGTACTTGGATGCCGACCGGCCATTCTTCGGCATCTGCCTGGGGATGCAGACCCTGTTTGAGGCCAGGGGCGATCCAGGAAAAAGCCGCAGGATGACAATGATGAAGGCGACTACCAGGATGTTGAGGATGATTATAGCGGTGATCATGCCCTGACTTGAGGCCTTATGGAGGCATGCCGGATGCCATTTTGGTTATCTTAGGCCATGCTGCGCCATCTGGGGGGCCATCTTGCGCTGCCTGGGCCATCCGGGAGCCATCCATGGGCATTAGGGACGTTCTAACCGATCGGGGGGGGGGGGCGGGCGGGCCGTCCAGACCAGGGGAAGGACTTCCCCTGACATAGCGGGTCGACCCCTCCCAGCGACGCAGATCGTGAGGCCACGGTGCGCGTGGTCCCGTCTTTGACCTGGCGGAGGCCCCACAAGCATGGCAAGGCACGGCGTGCCTCGAAAAAAAATGTGTTCGACTTATGTTGGTGGCCCGATGTAGCCTCCAGCGTTGATTCCATTTGTCCAAAGAAGGCCCTGGGATGGCTTTGAGGTGATTCCCCCCGAGAGGCCAACATCAGTGGAAAGACAACCGATTTCAGATGATTGTTATCTTTCTGCCTTTGCAGCTTCTGGTTGGCCCCCGAGGCCTCAAGATGTGCTAAGAGGGCCCTGAGAGCGGCCCACAAAGGTCCAAAGAGGGACCCAGCGGCTTCCAAGAGCACCTCAAGAGATCCCCAAGAGGTCTTCAGGAAGGCTCCAGGGCGTTCCCCAAAATCTTCAGGTCTGACGCCTGGCCGAAGAAGCATTTGTACAATGCACCACAACGGTCCCCGATTGTGGGCGGCGGCGGGACGGCTGCTCGCCTGCCGCTCCTTTTGCTGAGCCCTTTGCCTTCACCTTCCACCCCGCCAGTTGTTTGCAGAAGTGGTTCTGGAGCAAGGCGCCGCCAGGACTTCCAGGAGGCCCTGGCGGCCCCAGATGGCACTGGACGAGGCTGGAAAGGGACGTCCATCGTCCACTTGGCCTGGAAGCTGGTGACACCTTGGGCGAGGGGCACCCTGGGCCAACACCCGTTCCGCCCCTTCGCCTCGGAGCGCGCCGTCTGCACACCACGCCGATCCTGGCCATGGCCATCCTGGGCCCAGGATCGATGCGTGTGCCTTCATGGCCACGGCAGGAAGACGCTGTCAGTACCAGAGTGGTGTGCAGCTGGCCCCCCCCCGTCGCCGCGAGGAGGAGGAGGAGGAGGAGGAGGAGGAGGAGGAAGAGGAGGAGGAGGAGGAGGAGGAGGAGGAGGAGGAGGAGGAGGAGGAGGAGGATGAAGAGGAGTAGGACCTTCCCCACACCTAGTCGCCCCCCTCCCACCCCCTCCCCCTTCCTTTGCGAGGGCAGCGAGGAGTGCCCTGGCGTCGCGGGCCTGGGCGTGATGCCCGGCGTCGTGGCGAGGTTCCCGGATCGCCTCGGCCTTGCGGTGCCGGCGATCGGCTGGCACGCGGCTGGGGCCCAAACAGCCAGCAGCGTCGTGGTCGCAGTCGTCGTCGTGGTCGTCGTGGTGGTCGTCGTCGTCTTCGTCGTCGCTTCCTCCTCCTCCTTTTCATTTTCTGCAGCGCTGTGCCTCCTCCTCCTCTTCCTCCTCCTCTCCTCCTCCTCCTCCTCCTCCTCCTCCTCCTCCTCCTCCCCCTCCTCCTCCGCCTCCTCCTCCTCCTCTTTCGCCGTTCGGAAATCATGAGCATCTGTACTGTTGCCTTCATGTGATGCCGAAGACAGACTGCGACTTGGGTAGAGTTACAAGCACAGTGACCTCGGCTCGCAGCGGTGATAGGAATGGCAGTGAGAAACGGAACAGCATGATCGCCCGCAAGGGCGCAGAGCAGGCGTGCGAGGGTCGCGGAGGGGGCATGGAGGTGACCTAGATCGGTAAGGACCGTGATACATAAGAAGAGAGTGGGAGATTCGAGTACTGGCCCAAATATTCAATTATTTGAGTAGCGGCCTCTGGCAACTGATATGCTGTGGTGTGCTTAGCTGGTGTGCTCAAACTGCTGTAGGCTTGCGCAGTCTATTCTGGCTGGCCTTTGACTGGTCTGGGCAGCATTGTAATGATTAGCCTGGCACTGTCTGTACTGGTAGGTCTCCCTCCCACGATCCGCTCGGCAACCGCCACTATAATGGCATGCACAGCCAGGACAACTATTTGTCTACATACTGCGAATGGGCTGAAACGGCATGCGAAAAAAAAGCCTGGGTCTCAGTACTAATCTGTGCTGCTCGGCAGTCCACAGTAGGGTGTCCTGCGGCGACCCCCCTGTCGGGGGCCAAATTGGCCGCTGCAGCATCGTGTAGGACTGACTCGGATTTGACAGAAATAGTGGCGCTTTTACATGCGGCAATTTGAAAATAGTACAGTACGGTCTGAGCTTGTTGCTGTATCACCTCCACATCGTCAATATCCAATCCCAACCCCGCAAGTCCCTGATCAATTGTACACAGCAGAGTGGGTAGAAAGGGCATCACCTGGTAAACATGGTAGTGTGGAGCATATTCCTGTGGCCTTTGTATGTCTCCCGTTGGCCAGCAGTAGGCCCGCTCATCGGTTCCTCGGTGGGGGACGCGCACTCACCGTCTCGTAGTCAGAGTATGACTGGTTATGATGGAGAAGGTGCAGGGAACTGCCATGTAGTACGCTCGGCCCTCTGGGGAGCAACACGGGTAGCCTCGAGCAAGGCTGTACATTTTGCTACGCGCACGGTTCGGGCATGCGGATATCCCTGCTCGCTGGCCGTGCACCGTAAGAGTAGTCAGGTGTGATAAGAATGATACGAGTGCAGACGGAGTAGGGGCGGCGATTGTGTGGGGTTGCTAGTAGCGGCGAAGCGCCCTGACTTGAAGGCGTGTAAAGGCATGGGTTGGGTGATGCACCCTGACCTCCATGCTCAGGGCGCGACTGGCAGTACCAGTGCTGTCCTAGATCCCCCCATCACCCTCCCCTCCACACATAATGGGTGGACTACGAAAGAAAGACGTGCTGGCCGTGGCTATCTGTAGCAGCAGCTACCTCCTGTAAGTTCCAGTGCCCTGGGTACGACTCCTCCTGGGCATGTGGGTATTCGTAGTTTACGCCGTGACATGATCAGATCACATCAGGCGGGATGGCGGTGCCGAGACCGTCCTGAGAGCCCCACCTCATTCCCCCAAATTCGATTGGCCCCACTCCTTTATCCAACTAAGTGCAGACACGCAAGGGAACGTACAAACAGAGGCGCTGTCGGCAGTGCTGAGGGTGTGGGCTAGAATTTGGAAGGCAAAGCCCATTGTGCACACAGCCACGGGTGGCATTAGGTCCCCAGGATGTGATGAGGACCCATGCGCAGAGACCCGTAGGGGGGGACTGTATGCTAGGGTCTGGCAGCAACGTATCCTTTTGCACACCCATCCCCCGTACCGTCCCTCTCCCAAGCCCGAGATAGTACAGAAAATGGTGATCATCAAGAGTTGGATTCGCGGACTGTAGCTGCAGCTTATTGCACCAACAAGGGCAGCCGCTCAGTAATCGAATACTGGAAGTGTTCCAACCAAGTATACGCCCATCCCCCAGGTATGCCCCCAGGTGCTCCTATGTAGTGTATAAGGCTTTGCGGTACTGGTCGTAGATGCCGTGGTTAAATCGTACTGCCTGTGCTGTTGCTCCGCCTTCCTTTGTGTGGTGCTGTGGGTCATATCGGGTGGGTGGTCGGTGGTGTTTTTGTGGGAATCTGCTGTAGGTCTCTTTGGCGTATACTGCTGTTAGGTAGCGAGAGTACTGCTGTGGGTGCTCATGTACTGTCTTGAGGTATTCCGAAAGTGACGGCTTGTCGTAGTTGTTTGGTCCTCCTCCCTCTCTTCCTCCTCCTGTTCTCCCTCTCTTCCTCTTACTCTCCTCCTCCTCCTCCTCGTATTATTCCTTCGCTTCCTCTTCCCCTGCTCATCCTCCTCCCACTCTGCATTGTAGAGACATCGTTGGAATCAGCTTCGGAGCGAGTGTAGAAGATGTCGCACCTAAAGCCTGAGTGCGCAGTGTCCCAAGGGGGCCTTGCGCAACAAGTAGTGGTTTAGAGCTGTCCCGATCATGTCTTGACATTTGGCAGCTCCATGGAATGTTAGAGTCGCCTCAGCTGGGCCTTGACTCGTCACCTCCTTCTCTCTCCTACCTCATCCCTTCTCGTACTCATGCTCTTCGTTCGGTTTCGCTTTCTGTTCCCCCTCCCCCCTCTTCCACTATCAATATATATATATATATATATCCACAGATATGATATCTCTGTCTCTCTCTCTCTCTCTCTCGTTTTTTGTTGTTGCTCTCTCTCTCTCTCTCTCTTTTTCTCTCCCTCCCTCCTCCTGCTCCTGCGTGTCCTTTGGCTCCCCTGCCGCGGAGGCAGTGCTTCGTGGGGCCACGACCTGTTCCCTGTCCCACGTCTGGCACCTGCCCCGCCGCCCCCCCCCCATTTCCGCGGAGAGGCACGGGGTGGCTCCCATGGCGGCGGACTCGTGGCCCCTCCTCGCGGAGCAGGTCCGCTGCTACTTCGTGCACTCCTACCGCGTGCCGATGCCGGCCTCGGGCGACGCCCCCTGGGCCCTGGCCTGCTCGGAGTACGGCGAGCGCTACGTCTGCGCGGTGCGGCGCGGGAACTGCGTGGCCTGCCAGTTCCACCCCGAGAAGAGCGGCGCGGTGGGCCTGGAGGCGCCCGGCGCCCTCTCATGGTGGGAGGGCGCGGGGCGCGAGGGAGCGAGACGCATCCTCCTCCTCCTCCTCCTCCTCCTCCTCCTCCTCCCCTCCTCCTCCTCCTCCTCCTCCTCCTCCTCCTCCTCCTCCTCCTCCTCCTCATCATCATCCGGCCGTGCTCCCGTCACGACGCGAGGCTGTCGGGGTTGGAGGGCGCCAGGCGTCTGGCGCCCTCCCACGCCGACAGCCTCGCGTCGTGACAGGAGCACGGCCGGATGTCTTTGGTCACCCTCGGCCTTCCGGGGCCTGTCTTGGCGGTTCCGGGGGGCCGTCAAGAGACGGCTTGGGACAAAAGAGCTGGCCCCGGGGAAGGGGTCCAGGCTTTTGGGGAGCCACGCTGTGACAAAAATCACGACGCCAGATGTCTGGGCAATCCCAGGCCACGTTTGCGCCGCCGGCTCGGTGCTGGGCTTCTGCTGCCTCCCCCGCAGGCTCATCTAGCGGCTCGCGAGTGCAGTCCCAAAAGCGGTAGCGCGCAATGCACGGGCAGGGCGAGTTGCGGTGAGACATGCCCAGGGGAGGCGGCGCCATTTGCAAGAGTGGGGCTGCTCGTCGTCGTCGTCGCCGTCGTCGTCGTCGTCGTCGTCGTCGTCGTCGTCGTCGTCGTCGTCGTCGTCGTCGTCGTCGTCGTCGCAGGCCTCTCGCAGGTCCGTTAGTGTGGAGCTCCCGGTTCGCCTGGCGGCCTTTCGGCTCGCGCTGCAGTTGCCGCCGCGTTGCAGTTCTGCCCTCTCCCTCCTCGCCTACCAAGTGGGGGATTTCGCTTTGGCTGAGATATCCAATGTAAGCGACACTCTGTCACTGTCACTGCCCCTGCTTTGTGTGACTTTCTCCCCCAGCGTACGCTCCTGTTGCTGCTGCGCGCCATGCTTTCCGAAGCTGCACGCTGGCCACTTGGCGCCCCCGTCGGCTTCTCATCGAAGGGAAAAGGGTGTCCAGGGTGCTGCAATGGTCACGACCACGACGGCGGCGGCGACAGTGACGGCGACGGCGGTGGCGGTCGCGGCGGCGACAGTTGGAAGGAAAAGGAACATGATGAAGTGTGATACGAGGAGGGAGTGCAGGCGGAGGGGCTGGAGCTGTGCGTGCAGCCAGAGATGGCCGCGTTCGGCGACCAATTTCGAATCCTACCCCTGCGGATTCCATCGACGCTGGGGTATCGGACACCCCTGCTGCCTTCGAGTTCCGAACCCCAGCCGGCGTTTCAGAATCTGACCTGGGTGCACATGAGCGATATAGAAATTACTTGCGCCGACACTTGCGCGTAAGCTGCCCACGTAAGGTTGCGCGTAAGCGCCCTCGTTTCCGATGTAGCGTGCCGCGCTAGTGGCCCGCGTAAGCCGCCGCGTAAGGCCGCTATGTCGTCTCGCGCAAGACCCGCTCATCTTCGTCGCTCGCATGTCGTTGCCTACGCGTCCCGCCCAGCGGCGGCAGCCCGCCACTCCGGCAGGTGCTCGGCCGCTGGCTCGGCGGAGCGCCGGAGTCGTCCGTGCCGCGCGCCGCGGCCCTGCCTGCGCAGGTGCTGCCGCCGGCCAGGAGGCTCACAGAGCGGGGGGGTCGGCCGCGAGAGTTTCCAGAGCGGTTGCAGTAGGTTCGGGCGACGAGGACCGTGCACATCCCCCGCCCCTTGCCAGGCTCATCCTGGGCCCTGGAGCGGGGTGTACAGATGTCGTCGCCCCACAGGTTCGCGCTGCGTTGGCGCGGTAGCGACTCCAGCGTTGGCGTTCGAGGTCGAGCGGCGCAGTTGGCGCGGAGTCGGGCGATGCTGAGCGATCTGCGCAATCAGATGGCCGCGATCAATCAAGGTTGAAAGATCCGCGCGGTGCTGGAAAGGTTTGCCAGCGTGGGTCCCAAACAGCGGCTTCTTGCACTCGCTGTGCACTCTATGTGGTGCAATTCACTTGCCGAACTTGAATTTGTCAACTTCACTGCTCGCGCAATCATCCCACCCACCCACCCGCAACTTGGTTTGCAAAACCCATGCGGGAGCGATTGCGATGAGTGCTGGGTGTTGGCTGGTGCATCTCTGCGGCCGCGCTAGCCCGCGCATGCTCGCGCGCGCAGCGCCCAGCTAGTTTGGCGCCACCGACGCGAAAGCGGTGGCGCGGTATCATGGCAACGTCGACAACAGTAGACACGATGATGATCGTAGCGATGCTGGTGACGATGCTGACAGCGACGACGGGGCAGCCAGTGACGGCGCCGATGCTGATCACGCCGACGACGATGACGACATCTTCGCGTTGGTGATGAAGGTTCCCTAAAGAATTCGAACTGCGCGCGCGGCTGACGCGCGAGAGTGCCTCGCGTGGTACTCTTTGACACGGACCGTGCCACCCCAGCACGCGCGCAAGGGCGTTCGAACGATTTCGGCGTGCGCGCGCGAAGCCCGTTTGGTAGTTTTTTTTAACATGGTGAAAGCCGGATAAGTTTTTTTGTTTACACGAGCGCGCGCACGCTTTTGTTGAACATCCGTGTTGCGAAACGTTTTTTTTGTTGTTGGGGGGTGGGGGGGGGTAGTTGGGGGGCCTCTTGGGGAGCTCTTGGGGGCCGCTTGGGAGCCTCGTGGGGGCCCCTTGGGGCTTTTTGGGGGTCTCTTGGGGACCTGTTGGGGCTTCTTGGGGGCGTCTGGGATTTCTTTAGAGCTTTTCAAGCCGAGGGCTCGAAATGTCCGTTCGGGTCCCCCGTCTGGGCTCCCTCTTACAAGCGTCTTGGGAGCCTCTTCGATTGTCCTGGAAGCCTCTTGGACGGTCTTTGGGCCCTCTTGGGTCGTTTTGGGGCTCTCTTGGACCCATCTTGGGCCATCTTTGGGCAGTCTTGGGGGCCTCTTGGCCTGGCACGGAGCGTCGGGAAGCTGACAAAGCGAGAATGCAACAAACTTCCAAAAACTTGGGGGTAATCGGTGATTTTTGTTCCTTGGTGTCCTCTTTGAAGTCCTCTTGGGGACCTCTTGGGTTGGAAACTTTTTGGGCCGTCTGGAGGCTACCTCGGCGACTTGGACCGATACTTCGGCGATTCGGGGCCCTCGAGGACCGTCTTGGAAACATCTTGGGGCATTTTCGCAGCGTCTTGGGTTTTTTTCGGCCCCCCGAACCGCCCGAGGGGGAGTCGTATCTGACCCGGGGCTTCCCCAGGACTTCCCCGGAACTTCCCTGGTCCCTTTCCCCCCCCTGCGGGGAAGGGATCAAAAGGGAAGGGGCTTAACGAGTGTGCGCGCGTAGAATTTTTTGCGAGGGAACCCAGGGGGGCCGATACCGATTTGGCTGGGATAGTATGAGTTCATTGGGTCAGGATCGTGTGTAATTTGCATCGGGTCCCGGGGAGTCGATAAGTCCGGGGGGGAGGGGGGGAGAACCTATTTCTTTTCAGGAAGGGAAATCAATTGGACGCAATCTATGTTGTGTACTTTATGTGTACCGCCATCAGTGGGTTGTAACGAACGTGCTGCGAGCAATGTGTGGCCTAAGCTATGTGGTGCAAGCTAGAGGACAGAGGATACTCGACGCAAGCCAATGTTCGTTGAACACACATTCGTAGTCATTCTGCGAATGCATGTAACGTTATGTGTTTTGTTCTGTTTTTTGTTGTACTTGTATGTGTGGTTGTATTCACATTGCATTTCTATGTGTATTGGTCTACGTATTATTATTTGTTTCTGTACGTGTATTCGTATTTGCGTTTGTTCTCCAACTAGGCTTGCCCTATAGGAGTCCTAGCTCAAACCCTATTAATTGAACCGTTGCCCCCCCTCCCCCCTAATTCCTATGCCCCCCCCCCCTAATTCCTGTGGCTATGCCTATGCCAATGCCTATGCCTCCCCCTAACTCCTATGCCTACGCCTATGTCTATGCCTGCTTGCTTGCTTGCTTGCTTGCTTGCGCGCTTGCTTGCGCGCCTGCACGCTTGCTTGCTTGTTTGCTTGCTTGCTTGCGCGCTTACTTGATCTTACTTGCACGCTTGCTTGCTCGCTGAGTTGCGGATCACAAGCATGCTTAATTCCTCTGGTTCCTTGAGTTGAGTCGTCTAATCTACATATATATACGTACTTGCGTGTGCACTTGCATTTGTCTGTGCTTGCATGCATCGGTATACGTGTATATATACACGCATGCATGCATGCACGTATGAGGTATATTTTGTATATATATATATATATATATGTATGCATATCTACGTGTGCGTGTTTCTATGTGTGTGCATGCATGAATGTATATATATATATATATATACATATATATATATATATATGCACGTTTGTATGTATGTATGGGTTTCGGTTCGTTTCCCCCCGCGATTTTGAGATTTTTGCTGAACGCCGCCCAGCGGCGGTTCAATAGGTAGGAGGAGGCGGAAGAGGAGGAGGAGGAGGAAAAGGTGAAGGAGGGGAGGAGGACGCAGGAGGAGCAGGAGGAGCAAGAGGTGAAGAGCAGGAGGAGCAGGAGGAGGAGGAAGCGGTGAAGGAGGAATAGAAGGGGAGGGAGGAGGAGGCGCCGAGGTTGCCGTTGCAAGCGGTCTGTCTGTGTTGCTGCGGCGAAGCTTCTCCTTCCTGTCCTCGTTCCTTCCTCTCTCCGCTTCGCGTCCCCTGCTGCTCCCTTCCTCCAGCGGCGCGGGACGCAGCTTTTCGCGATGCCCGCCAAAGCCCGCACCGAGGCTGCCGCTGCAGGCGTCACGTCTGCGGCTGCAGCCTTTCACATCACAGCCCAGTAGGCGAGGTACTCATATGTATCCTCCAACTTCTCGTAGTCCTACCTCGACTCGCGCAGCTGCTTCTCCAGGTTGTGGCAGCGCTTCTTACTGCTAGTTACCTCCCCGCGGCGAGAGATCGTCCCACTGCCGCCGCGATAGACCCAGGGCGGTCTCCCTCAAGCAGCGACACGCTGCACAAGCCGTCTGCCGCGCACAGCAGTCGCTGCCAGACGTCGGGCGCCCAAAGTCTAACGTGGCGGCGTTGGAGGGTTCGCCCGCGACCTTGATGCGCACCAGGTTGCTGCTGAGGTCCGCCTTCGCCTCGGCCAAGGCTTTATTCGCCGCAGTCGTCTTCGTCTCTGCCTCCTCGCGGCGCTTGCTCTCCTTGGGGGGAGAAAGGGGCCGTGCGGGTGCGACAGGTGCTGGGTTCAAACTTGAGATGAATTGGTGGTGTGGCGACTTCCCATTGCGATCCTGCTGAGAACCAACTGTCCAGGTTTTGACTTGCTTCCACGCAGCGGCCGCCCCGTCGCGGAAGATCATCGCCTCGTCGCGCGCCCCCTTGGCGTCCTTCAAGTGCTTGTTGGACCGCCTCCTTGTGGACAGGCCACAAACCAGACGCGTCATTCAGTGCTCGCAGAAGCTGCGCTGCCCGCAAACACGACGTAGCACGTATTGCTATAGGGTGTTCCCGAACTGCGTCGGTTCTGCGCGGTAAAAGATTGATGTTGGGGTGTGCTGTGTTTTTGCCCCCACTGGTCCGCAAGGCGTCTTCTTTCTTGTTGTGCTCTTCCGTAGCTCGGCGAACCGCCACGCGGATCTTCTCAGATACCGCGCGGCGGAACGTCGCCACCAGCTGTTTTGCGTGTGGCGATTGCAAGAACTTCTGGGGTCTCTTCTTGGCTTGATACTTCCTGTTCGCTGCCATCTTGTCTTGGTACTGTTTGGTGCCTTTTGCGGGTTATCCATGGCTCCGAACAGGAAGTGGTTGAGCGAAGCTGTGAGCCAACTGGCCTTCGCGCGTGAGACAACATCCTCATGTCCTCCTCTGCTTCCTCCCATAAGCATCCCCATCATCATCATCATCATCATCATCATCATCATCATCATCATCATCATCATCATCATCATCATCATCATCATCATCATCACCACCATCACCATCACCATCTTCACCTTCGGCCTCATCTTCCTCCTCCTCTCCGCCCTCTCCTCGCGATTTACGTCGCGTCCGTCTCAGCATCATCCTCCTTCTCATTTCTCATCCTCTTCATGCCTCCTCCACCACATCACCACCATCATCACCATCACCATCATCACCATCATCATCTTCGCCATCGGCTCATCTTCCTCACCCTCCTCGTCCTCACCTCCTTATCCTCGGCCTCACGATTTACGTCGCCTCAGTCGCAGTATCCTCCTCCTTCTCATTTCTCCTCCTCCCCATGTCTCCTCCTTCTCGTCAGCATCATCATCAGCAGCCTCACCATCATCATCATCATCATCATCATCATCATCATCATCATCACCATCATCATCATCATCATCACCATCATCATCATCACCATCATCATCATCATCATAATCATAATCATCATCATCACCATCATCATCATCATCCTCATCATCATCATCATCATCATCATCATCATCATCATCATCATCATCATCATCATCATCATCATCATCATCATCATCATCATCATCATCATCATCATCATCATCGTTATCGTCATCGTCATCGTTATCGTCACCGTCATCGTCATCGTCATCATCATCATCAGCATCATCATCATCATTCTGCTGATTTCTCGCCCCCTCAGCGTTGCCATTCACGGCATCTTTTTTCGTCCTTTTCATTCCTCCCCCTCATTCTCATTCTTCCCTTCCCGTGCCATGGCTCCAGACATGTTTCTGTGGAGGTTTTTGAGAACCTTGTTTGTGAAAGGGTCCCACTGGAAATCCTTCTGTGGAGGGTTTCAGTACGAACCCTCTTGCATAGGATTTCGATGGGAAGGCTTCTGTGACAGGTTCCATTGCAGGAGGAGTAGGAGGAGGAGGAGGAGGAGGAGGAAGAGGAGGAGGAGGAGGAGGAGGAAAGGCCAACCCCCTCCTCCTCCCCTCTCCTCCTCCTCCTCCTCCTCACCCTACTCCTCCTCTTCCTCTATTCCTGCTCCTCCTCCTCCTCCTCCTTTCCTTCCTCCCCGCCATCCTCCCTCCTCAGTGTATTGCGTTGTATTGTATTGCTGCGTCCTGCCTCGAAGTGCATTGCAGTGCATGCAGCATGTCACTTTGGCGTTGTTTGCACTTTGTGCTGCTGTTGGGCTGGGGTGAGACGAAGGAGAGGAGGAGGAGGAGGAGGAGGAGGAGGAGGAGGAGGAGGAGGAGGAGGAGGAGGAGGAGGAGGAGGAGGAGGAGGAAGAGAAGCAGGAGGAGGAGCAGGAGGAGGAGCAGTAGGAGGAGGAGGAGGAGGAGGAGGAGGAGCAGGAGGAGGAGGAAGATGTAAAGGAGGAAGAGAAGGGGAGGGAAGAAGAGGAGGAGGATGATGATGAGGAGGAGGATGAGGAGGAGGAGAAGGAGAAGCCAACCCCTCCGCCCTCCTCTTCTTCCTCCTGTATACTCATCCTCCTCTTCGTCGTCCTCTTCCTCACCCTCCTCTTCCTCCTCCTCTTCCTTCTCCGCCTTTTCTTCCCCTCGTCCTGACGGGGAGGAAGGAAAGGAGGAGGAGGAGGAGGAGGAGGAGGAGGAGGAGGAGGAGGAGGAGGAGGAGGAGGAGCATGCGTAGAGGAAGAGGAGGAGTAGGGTGAGGAGGAGGAGGAGGAGGAGCAAGGTGAGGAGGAGGAGGAGCCGACCCGTTGAATCATTCAAACAACCAAAAACAGCAAACAACAAAAAGCAACCAAGCAAAACAAGTAAAACAAGCAAAACAAACAATGTTTCGCAAGGACTCGGCTGCAGCCTGAATTCTCCCAGCACATTTTTTTGCTGTTTTTTTCAACCATCCTGTGGTGTTGGGTCCTCGTTTTGAAGAGACGGTCCCCGCGTCTCCTCCTCCTCCTGTCTCCTCCTCCCGCTTCTCCCTCCTCAATGCGTTTCACCCACCCAGTACAGCGTTTCGTGGCCCCATAGGGAGCTCCACCGAAGGCCCCAGTGGGGGGTACCACATGCGTCCGCAACACCCAATACAGCGTTTCGTGGCCCCACATGGAGCTCCACCGAAGGCCCCAGTGGGGGGTACCACATGCATCCGCCACACCCAGTAAAGCGTTTCGTGGCCCCATGGGGAGCTCCACCGAGGGCCCGAGTGGGGGGTACCACATGCGTCCGCAACACCCAGTAGAGCGTCTCGTGGCCCCATAGGGAGCTCCACCGAAGGCCCCAGTGGGGGTGGCCACATGCATCCGCCACACCCATTACAGCGTTTCGTGGCCCCATAGGGAGCTCCACCGAAGGCCCCAGTGGGGGGTACCACATGCGTCCGCAACACCCAGTAGAGCATCTCGTGGCCCCATAGGGAGCTCCACCGAAGGCCCCAGTGGGGGGTACCACATGCATCGGCCACACCCAGTAAAGCGTTTCGTGGCTTAATAGAGAGCTCTAGAGAGCTCTACCGGAGCCCCGAGTGGGACCGCGCACGTGCGTCCCACACACCCAATTTGGCATTTTCACCCACCCAGTGCAGCGTTTCGTGGCCCCATAGGAAGCTCCACCGAAGCCCCAGTTGGACCGTCCGCATTCGTCCCGCGCACCCAATTCGGCATTCGTGGCCCCATTAGGAGCTCCACCGAAGCCCCCAGTGGGACCGTCCGCATGCGTCCTGGAAACCCAATTTGAGATTCTTTACCCACCCAGTACAGCGCTTCGTGGCCCCGTAGGGAGCTCCACCGAAGGCCCGAGAGGGGGGTACCACATGCGTCCGCAACACCCAGTAGAGCGCCTCGTGGCCCCATAGGGAGCTCCACCGAAGGCCCCAGTGGGGGTACCACATGCGTCCGCAACACACAGTACAGCGTTTCGTGGCCCCATAGGGAGCTCCACCGAAGGCCCCAGTGGGGGGTACCACATGCATCCGCCACACCCAGTAAAGCGTTTCGTGGCCCCATGGAGAGCTCCACCGAGGGCCCGAGTGGGGGGTACCACATGCGTCCGCAACACCCAGTACAGCGTCTCCCGGCCCCATAGGGAGCTCCACCGAAGGCCCCAGTGGGGGTGGCCACATGCATCCGCCACACCCAGTACAGCGTTTCGTGGCCCCATGGGGAGCTCCACCGAGGGCCCGAGTGGGGTGTACCACATGCGTCCGCAACACCCAGTAGAGCGTCTCGTGGCCCCATAAGGAGCTCCACCGAAGGCCCCAGTGGGGGGTACCACATGCGTCCGCAACACCCAGTACAGCGTTTCGTGGCCCCATAGGGAGCTCCACCGAAGGCCCCAGTGGGGGGTACCACATGCATCCGCCACACCCAGTAAAGCGTTTCGTGGCCCAATAGAGAGCTCTAGAGAGCTCTACCGGAGCCCCGAGTGGGACCGCCCGCACGCGTCCTGGAAGCCCAAGTTGGCATTTTCACCCACCCAGTACAGCGTTTCGTGGCCCCATAGGGAGCTCCACCGAAGGCCCCAGTGGGACCGTCCGCATGCGTCCCACACACCTAATTTGGCATTTTCACCCGCCCAGTACAGCGCTTCGTGGCCCCACAGGGAGCTCCTCCGACGGCCCCAGTGTCACCGCCCGCATGCGTTCCCCCCCACCCAGTGCAGCGCTTCGTGGCCCCATAGAGAGCTTCACCGAAGAAGATATTCACAATTGCGGTGCCCACAACTGCAGATGGTTGTGTCCTTCGCCAGGATTTTGTTTTTGTTTTTTGTTTTCCCAATGGCCTGAAGAAATGATGAGAACAAACGGGGGTGGTGCAGGAGGAGGTGGTGCAGGAGAAGGAGAGGGAAGAAGAGGAATAATAATACTAATAATATGTTGAATCGTTTTGGAACGGCGTTCAGTAGAATCTCAAAATCGCGGGGGGCCGAAAACGAGCCGAAACCGATGATTGTTGTGGTGATGGTGATGATGGTGTTGACGACGACTGCGAAAACAAAACCGACCTCGGATGATGATGATGATGATGATGATGATGATGATGATGATGATGATGATGACTCTGATGATGACGATGACGGTGATGCTGATGATGATGGTGCTGATGATGATGATGACAATGATGATGATCATCATGGTGAAGCTGATGACGACGATGATGAAGAAGACGATACTTCTGATTAAAATGGTGACGTTGATGGTTCTGTTGGTGGTCATGATGATGACGATGCTGACGACGACGATGATGATGAAGAAGTTGATTCTGGTTATCATCATGAGGAGGATGATGATAATGACGATGATGATTATGTTGATGGTGATGATGGTGATGGTGATGATGATGATGATGGTTATGCTGATGTTGATGGTGATGATGACGGCGATCGTAGTGGTTTTGATGATGCTGCTGCTGATGATGATGATGATGCTGATGATGATGATGATGGGAATTGTTGACGATGATGCCGATGCTGCTGCTGCTGATGATTATGATGATGCCGATGCTGGTGCTGCTGCTGTTGCTGTTGCTGATGTTGACGATGGCACCGCTGCTGCTGATGATGACGATGCTGATGCTCATGCTACTGCTGATGATGATGATTAATATGATGAGGGGGAGTAGGATGCTGATGATGCTGCTGCTGCTGCTGATGATGATGATGATGATGGCTGAGGAGGCGCATGATGATGATAATGATGATGGTGATGGTGATGGTGATGGTGATGATGAGATGATGAGGTGGATGAATATGATGATGCTGATGATCATGATGATGATTATGATGATGCTGGTGATGATTGTGATGACGATGATGATGATGCTGATGATGATGATGATGCTGATGAGGATGATGATGTTGATGATTCTGATGATTAACGTGATGCTGCTGCTGATGATCATGGTGATGATGCTGATGATACTGATGATGATTCTGATGACGTTGATGATAATGACGATGATGATGCTGATGATGACGATGATGATGACGATGATGATGAGGATGGTGATGATCATGATTACAATGAGGAGGAGGAGGAGGAACATGATGAGTAATGAGGGATGATGATAGTGATGGGTTGTGATGATGCTGTCAATGGTGATGATGATGATGATGATGATGATGATGATGATGATGATGATGATGATGCTGATGATGATGATGATGATGATGATGATGATGATGATGACGATTAATGTGATGATGATGATGATGATGATGATGATGATGATGATGATGATGATGATGATGATGATGATGATGAGGAGGAGGAGGAGGAGGATGATAATGATGTTAAGTTGCTGCTGCTGGTGATTGTGATGGTGATGATAACGGGTCTGGTGATGATGATGATGATGATGATGATGATGATCAGGAGGAGGAGGAGGAGGAGGGAATGAGGAGGAGGATGAGGAGGAGGAGGAGGAGGAGGAGGAGGGTGTACGACGAGAAGGAGAATTAAGAGGATAGCGGCGGTGTTGCAGTTCTGTGATTGTATCTCTCTCTAGGATAATTGTCTGAGGCCGTTTTTGTGGTGAGGGCCGCGCGGGGAAGTCGGGAGGCTCTGTTCTGGCCTGGCTCCTGGGTGGGATCCGCTTGTGGGGAGCCCTCGATCAGGGTGATCGCGTGCATGGACGTTCGATCCAACGACGCCGGCGACCTGGTGGTTACCAAAGGTGATCAGTACGACGTGAGGGAGGAGGGCTCCTCTGGTGACAAGGGACAGGTGAGAAACCTGGGGAAGCCGGTGGCTCTCGCCGAGCGCTACTACTCCGAGGGCGCGGACGAGGTGACTTTTCTGAACATCACGTCCTTCAGAGAAATGATCCTGGATGACACTCCGATGTTGGAGCTGCTTCGCAATGCTGCCGAGAAGTGCTTCGTTCCCATGACGGTGGGCGGCGGTATCCGTAGCTATACCGACGCCGCGGGGAAGCACTACTCGGCGCTCACAGTGGCGGACGCCTACTTCCGGGCTGGTGCCGACAAGGTTCGGGAGGAGGAAAGGGGGAGCTCTGCTGGAAACAAGGGTGCATCCAGGAACAGTGCGGATAGCATCGGAAGCCGCAAAGCAAGCCATCGCAGGACGAACGAGGAGAGATGACTGGTGAGGGATAACAGCAGCAATCATGATGACGACAAGTGGAGCCATGCCAGCGTGCATCGCTCCCCCCGATGATGCGCTCCTTCTGAATCGGATTGTGGCGCAAGTTCGCTTGTTGTGTTCCCCGTAAGGTGTCCCTCGGCACTGACGCGGTCGAGGCTGCCAAGGAGTATATTGCGAAGGGTAAGCTCACCGGGGAGACCTCCATCGAGCAGATCAGCAAAAAGTACGGGCGCCAGGCCGTGGTCATTAGCGTCGATCCCAGGAGGATGTACGTGGCCAGCCCGGACGTCACGTCCCACACTTGCGTCGAGGTCGGAACTCCTGGAGGCCCCCCGCCAGGGCCCAACGGCGAGCGATTCCTCTGGTACTGCTGCACCCTGAAGGTTCTCCCATTCCGGAGGGAGGGAGTAGCAGAAGGAAGAGGAGAAGGAGGAAGAGGAAACAAGGAGGAGGGGGTGGAGGAGAAGGATGATCAGGATAATAATCACCATGATGAGGAGTATGAGTAGCAGGAGTAGCGTGATGATGCTGATGATGATGAGGAGGATGAGGAGGACAAGTGGTAGTACCAACAGTAGTAGTGGTAGTAGTAGTAGTAGTAGTAGTAGTAGTAGTAGTAGTAGTAGTAGTAGTAGTAGTAGTAGTAGTAGTAGTAGTAGTAGTAGTAGTAGTAGTAGTAGTAGGCGTAGTAAGTAGTAGTAGTAGTAGTAGTAGTAGTAGTAGTAGTAGGCGTAGTAGTAGAAGTAGCAGTAGTGTAGCAGTAGT